GACAGTGTCCTGGGTCTGTAATGATCAGCACTCAGGACTCTGGGGTCAACACCCCTACTCTTACTGACAAGTGTCCTGGGTCTGTAATGACCAGCACTCAGGACTCTGGGGTCAACACCGCTACTCTCACTGACAAGTGTCCTGGGTCTGTAAAGACTAGTTTTACTCAGTACCTTAAAGCTGAGCTGATATGACATTTCTTTCAGACTCAGATGCCCTTGTCTCAGCATCCTGACCACAGCTCTATACAGTATTCCATACAAAGGCTTTACCAAAACTACACAACAACACCAACAAGAAACGAATCACAGAGGAGTTTTGTTGTGAACATAGGTAAGGCTACAAACAAGAGTAAACCCTCCTCAAGCCATGAAGCCCTTCTGACTGTTAGTAGATAATAGATTGATAAGCTTCCTCTCGGTCAGCTGATACACAAACGTAGTCTTCAGTTTCACTGTTAAGCGTGTGATGCTCAGATTGACATGAATACTTCTCCCCCCTCTGATCCACTCTCTCCGTCACTTAACTCTCCTCCCTGTAACATCAAACTCTGGTGGACGTTCAAATTCCCTGAAGCGAAATAGTGACAAAACCAATTTTACTGGTGGGCAGCGAATGTCAGCTGGAAAAGCCGGAGAGCTTCACAGTAATGGCGGAAGGCTTCTCCACGCAGGCAACAGCCCTAGTCCAGAATCTGGGAGTCTCACTTGATCCTCTCCTGACCTTTGAGCCTCATGTGAAAAATCTAATAAAGACATCTTCCTTTCACATTAGAAATATGGCCCGCATTAGGCGATTTCTATCAGTGTCTGATGCTGACTGCCCGATTCACGCATCTATAATATCAACTCCAATTCTTTACTCTTAACACTCTTCTCAACAAACTGCAACATGTCCAAAACTGCAGCTAGACTACCAACTCAAACCAGACCCTGGCAGCATTTCACTACTACACTCACGTCTCTACATTGGTTGCCTATAAAGTCACGTATTCAACAGAAGATCCTGTTACTGACTTATGCAGCTCTGAATGATCTGGCTGTATCATACATCTCCGAATTTCTCCATGTTTGCACTCCCTGCCATAGGCTCTGTCCAGTTGAGTCTGATCCTTGATCACTGCTCCCGAGATTAAATCTTGGACTTCTGACCCTGCCTTTTCTGTCGCTGCTCCAGTGTAATACAGTAGAATGCAGTTCTACAGCGCAGACAAATTCTCTGCTCTGACTCTTCAAATCCAGACTCAAACCCCATCTCACCTAGGGCCTGTCTGATTGCCTTAAATCCTGTCTGTATGAAACTGTATGTTCTTCTTTATTTTTTTCATTTGACTGTTTTTTGTCTTTTTCTTTATCACTATGTACAGTGCCCCTGGGTTTGGAAAGGAGCTTTATAAATAAAAACTAGTATTATTATTATTATTGCTGGTACTCAGCTGAGTAAATTACTCCTGCTTCAGCAGCATGTACCACCTTTAGTGATGATATTACTACAAGGCCGCTCACAGTTCTCCCAACACTGGATATAACAACAGAAATAATATCTTACAGATTCTGCATCCAGGATCTTCCTGTAACAATTCACTCCAGCATAGCAGCCCTCCAAACGCCTCTGCACACTTTAATTAAAACACTCCTGCTTCGTTAGCCGAGATTTAACCACAGGGGCTGACGTGCCAGGAAACGTCACTCATGCGTCATTCTCAGGTAATAATCAAGTGTTAATTACACTGAGTTACACAGAATTCTGGATTCACACTTCAAAGACCATCTCCTCACTATCTGCCCCAATCAGAATTCCAGTATTTCACTGTGTGTGTTAAAACAGTACAGACACTGACTGGACACTACAGGACATTAACACTGCACTGAGAGAGAGGGGTTAATACAGTCCAGACACACTGACTGGACACTACAGGACATTAACA